CATTTTTTTCTGTCTCCTGCAAAAAGTCCAAAAGGGGCTTCCAACTGGCATTAAAGTTAGTTGATGTTTTTCTCTCAGCAAAGCTGTCAGTTTTGCCATCTCACCATCCATTCTTCCCAACAGTTAAATGTTTGACTACAATTTTCGGAGTATTTCAAAGCCTTAAAATATGTTAGCTTGTAATCCTTCCTACCACCCTATAAGGTAGACCAATATTTATTTCTTTGTTTCTTTATTCTTTATACTCACCAGTATCCACAGACTCTCAGCAGTTAGCCATAGCTGTAATGGCAGTCAACGGTGCAATAAAAGTACAATAAAATACTCACCCTGGAGTAGCTGAGATAGTAGCTCTCATCTAGGATGACTGTTCAAAGAACATGTAAAAATCCCTTCATAATACTAATTTAAAGCTCTTGTAAGAAAATAGCTTTACATAGTATTAATATGAAATACTTGAAGCTTGTTTTATAGAAGATTTTCTTTTCATGAATGGTGTTAAAGCATAACATGGACTGTTTTCATATCCATTTATCAACAGATCTCATAGTTGTGATAGCTTCAATTATTGTACTGAGTGTGGGATCAAATGGACAAGTGTTTGCTACATCTGCAATAAGGTATGTTCTACCTTATAGATTAGCTAGATTATTTTAAAATATCCTGCAGCTCACCTTCGAGTTGATTTAAATCCTGCCTATGTGCATACATTTTTATTGCTACTGTCATGGTTTTTGTGACTTTTTATATATATAAAAAACTATCAAAAGAGATTTGTGGTGCCTTAGAATCCTACTTCAGAATATACAGTAGATTTTGTAATCTACAATATACCAAGGATTCAGAAGTAAGTGTGTTTGGGTATATACTGTATAACATGAAGCTAGAGATGCGCATAAGGTTTTCAGCTGGACCATTTACAATCTGAAACACTCCATTTCAAACTTAAAACCCCTCATTTCAAGTTCAAAGTGTCTCAAACTCAAAACGTGCCCCAAGTGTTTGAAGCCGCCTGTTTTGCCCTTGGGACGGTTGCTTTGCGGTCTTCGTGGGCACTTCAAGTTTGAACAGAGTCTTTAGAATTCAAAGTGACTCATATTCTAAATGTTTTGCACATCCCTAAAATTAACCCTGCAAAAATCTGTGATCAGATTCTACAATGAAGTGGTGATTAAGTAATTACCAGGCCTGACTCTACACATAAATAGTTCAGTGTATATATTACTTAGGAGTAGGGACAGAAAAGGGGCTAGCGGGAAGGTCGCAGGGCTTGGTAACCACCAAGGAAAGACGTCAGAGGCGCAGAATGAACCCACCAGCTCCACCTTGAACTGGAAGAAGGGTCAGGAGAAGACAAAGGGCAGGACCGTAGATTTTAGAGAGCAACAATTTACAAAGCAATTCTTTCTCAGTCTCCATCCCCTTAGCGTCTTATCTAAGAGACAGATAAAAATATTTATTCTTTTTCCTGCAAATAAAAATGTCTTCATTACTGTACCTATAATTGTTATGGTTTTGCTATACCAGGGATTCTCAGACTTGGCCATATCTCAGCCCCCTTGATTAGAAAGTAAGAGGTGTGACCACTTACTAAAAGAGATGTCACTTTTATGCCTCCTTTTATAAGCACTACCAATAGGTTGGTCATCTATTGGCACTATCAGATGCCAACCTCCCAGATCACTCCTAATTCCAGGCGTTGACAGATGAAGAACACGAGCCCCAATCTTCACTCTGCATTTTTTCTTCCAATGCTTCTTTTAAGGGGAATCCGGTTTCTGCAGATACTTCGCATGCTCCATGTAGACCGACAAGGTGGCACTTGGAGACTCCTGGGGTCTGTGGTTTTCATACATCGTCAGGTAGTGTATAGGAACAGATTATTATAAATATTTGACAACCTCCTTTGACTTCTATAAAACTTTTATCATCGCATCAAGTACGGCAGGTAAGAAAGAATTAGTATGTGAATGCAGTGTTTGAGTTACTGCTTGGAGGAGCTATCCTTGGGTCAGAAGCCCAATTTGCATACTGTTGCTCCTAAAATGCATATTATTGATTACGATTTGTCTCAGCTATAGGAGCCTACTTGCACAGCTCTTGAATCCGTTTTCATTGTGGTTCACCACGAGAGATCTGTTACATGCAAATTATGCAGTCCGTTGTCTCTGCAGAGAAGGTCAAGAGACCAGAACATTAAACATTAAAGATATTATTATTAAAAAGTAGTATACACTGTGTATAAAATTGTTAAGCAAATGTAACATTGCTGTTAGGTCCAAGCCTGCAAGCTATCAGTAAATAACTCAGTGTTGTTCTTCTTAGGAACTCATAACTACCTTGTACATTGGATTCTTGGGGCTAATCTTCTCATCGTATTTTGTCTACCTTGCTGAGAAAGATGCAGTGGACGAGGAGGGACAAACTGGGTTTTCCAGCTACGCTGATGCTCTCTGGTGGGGTGTGGTAAGTCTTGCTCCTTGGATATAATAGGAAGGTGTAATCCCTGGAAAGTGTGCATTTGATTAAAGAGGGAGGATTACAGAGACAGAATACAATGACTTTATAGCATCTTGCTGGCACCTCCTTAGCTTAGATGGGGCTTTTCCTGGAACCAGGCAGCTGGCACCTTTCCTGCCTTGGACCTGAATAGCTACACATCACTAATATATTGTCCTGCAAAATTGTTTTCCCTAACTGGAAATCGTCAGAAGCAAGAATTCGATCATTTTAAAATTGAAAAGCAAACATTAGAGCAGTGTTTCTCAACCTCAGCAACTTTAAGCTGTGTGGATTTCAACTCCCAAGAATCCCCCAGCAGCCCCCCTCGCGCGGGAGGTGGTGGGGGTCGGGATACCACCCCCATATAAAGAGGTGTGGGGTGACAAAAGATGACGAGGGAG